ATACAACAAGGGCCAGGGCACTGTGCGGGCTGGAACGGCCAGTTCTGGGGGTCAAGATGAGAATCGATCTGATGACATCCACGGCCACACCGGGTCACAACAGGGACGGGCTCCCCTGCAGGCCAGGCCAGCAGGCACAAGGGGGCCACACCAGCCAGGTTACGTCCAGGGCCGGGCACCTTTCCAGGCCACACCGGCAGGGCCAAAACAGGTTACAACGAGAGCCAGAGAACCCCTCAATTTCACATCGGCCATAGCCCCCGCTACTCAGATGTGTACATCTACATAGATAAACAGATGTGCATAGAACTGCATGTGCACATATATATATATATATATACAAATGGGTATGTGCAGAGTGAGAAGGAAAAGGCAAAAACATTAAAGATGGGGAGCAGCCGCTAAGCGCCAGCAGAAGGGACACGCACCTCCCCCTCCCCGCCCCTTCCTCGGCCCCCGAGACCTCCGGCAGACTCCCCCACGACGCGTCCCGAGCGATGAACAGAGGCGTCCGACTTAACCAACGCGACTCGACATACGCACTGGACGACACGACGGGCTGCAGCAGACCCGAAGCGCGAGATCCTGCAGGCTGGGCAGGCAGGCACCCGCCGCCACGATCCACACCAGCCAGCGGGGAGCAGCGGACGCAGCAACGAGAGAAGCACCAGCAGCCCGGCAAAGGCAAGGAGGAGAGTGGGAGAGCGGGGATGGAGGGCTGCGCGAGTGGAGCCGAATAGGGGGGTGGGGAGCTGGCTCAGAGGGGGGGAACAATGACCTGGAGTCGACGACACACCGCCGCCAGATAGGTGATATGGGCCCCCGATGGGGAAACCCAACGTTCGTGGGCAGGTTGGAGCACCCAGGCCCCAATCGGGCAATAGATGGGCATTTGAGGGTCGATGAATGCCCCGAGGTCCGACGCTGCCACAAAAAGCTTCACGTCGTAAACCTTCACGACCCGGGCCCTGGACTCAGTCTTTCTGTGGCAATTCTCGAGCCGGAGCGATCTGTGAAGCCCCTGGAGCCCCAGGCATAAACACGCAGTGCGGAAAAATCGCGTCAGGATCTTGCGGTCCCACCCTGAGCGAGCCCCCCGTCCCCCGTGGGGTGCGTACAAGGGGGGGCCGTCCAAGGGGCGGGCTCGCAAATCATGGCCCAAGGCACGCGCGCGGACGAGGGGGGCGACAAAGAGGCGTGCTGTGAAAGAAGAGGGGGCCACGGAACCCGATGAGAGATCAGATCCCCGGCCATAATATCCGCACTCCCCTGGTCATCACCACCCTCTTGTAGGGAGCCTACACAAACGGGTGCACGCGCCCAGCCACGTACATGGATGCGGCCCCCCAGTCCGCGAGACCAGCCTCGTGATACGAACGTTCGCGCAATGCGTACTTTCGAAACCAACGTGGATCCATGTACGTGTACGTCCTTCGTTCGCTCCTGATCTTGGACGCTCCCGACCCGTCGGCTCCCCTGATCCCCCAGGCCCCGAGCCCCTCCGCGGACTCGCGTCCGGCTGGCCCACGCCCACGGCGGCGGCCCCGCTCCAGGAGCCCCAGGTCCAGAACGGGTGGACGGCTCCTCTCGAAGTGGGCGCTCAGTCTTCCGTATTCCTCCCTCCTCCTCCTCCTCCTCCGCCTCCTTCTCCTCCTCCTCCTCCTCTTCCTCCTCCTCCTCCTACTCCTCCTCCTCCTCCTCCTCCTCCTCCTCCTCCTCCTCCTCCTCCTCCTCCCCATCCCTCTCCTTCCTCCTCCTCCTCTTCCTCCCCCTCGTCTGATCAGTATTATGTATTATTCTCAGTAGTGCTAATCGTCTTTATTGGTCTATTATTAGTACTACCATTATCATGTGCAGTATTACTAGCATAACTCCCCGTAGTAGTCAGACTAGCAATGGAAGTGCTATTAGTATGTGTCATACTAGTAGTGGATGTATTATTAGTATGCGGACTGTGTTTCTTGTGATAATTATGAGTATTCGTAGTATTAGTAGTAGTAGCTGTTGTAGTAGCAGTAGTAGTAAAAGTAGTAGTAGTAGTCGTCGTAGTAGTCGTAGTAGTAGTAGAAGTAGAAGTAGTAGTAGTAGTAGTAGTAGTAGTAGTAGTAGTAGTAGTAGTAGTAGTAGTAGTAGTAGTAGTCCGAGGTGAAAGGGGGTGAGATCGAAAGGAAACGGAAAGCCCCCCTACCGGGAAATCGGTTTCGGTTTCGTTTTCGTGCGTGCCGTGCGTGCGGGCGAGGCGAAGCTGCGTGGGCGGGCGAGAAAGAAGTCTGCTGTAGCCGAGGTGCGGCCAGACCAAAAGTCTCCCTTCCGGCAACCGGTGCCCCGCGGTGTCCCGCCGGTGTCCCGCTCGGGGGCCGGTGGCGCGCGGTGTCCCGCCAGTATCCCGCCGGTGTCCCGTCGGTGTCCCGATGATGATGCTGATGATGATGATGATGATGCTGATGATGATGATGATGGTGATGGTGGTGATGACGATGGTGTCCCGATGATAATGATGATGCTGATGATGATGATGTTGAAGATGTTGATGATGATGATGGTGATGGTGATGGTGGTGATGATGGTGGTGCCCCGATGATGATATTGATGATGATGATGATGATGATGATGTTGCTGATGATGATGATGGTGCCCCGATGATGATGCTGGTAATGATGATGATGGCGCTGATAATGATGATGATGTTGCTGATGATGATGGTACCCCGATGATGATGTTGGTAATGATGATGATGGCGCCCTGATGATGTTGATGCTGATCATATGTTTTGATGATGATGAAATTGATGATGGTGTCCCGATGACGATGATGATGATGATGATGAGGTTGATGATGATGATGCTGTTGATGATGAGGATGATGATGATAATGGTGTCCTGATGATGAGGATGATGATGACGATGATGATGTCCCGATGATGATGATGTTGATGATGAGGATAATGATGAGGTGATGATGATGATTTTGATAATGGTGGCCCAATGATAAAGATGATGATGCTGATGTTGATGATGATGGCGCCGCGATGATGTTGATGATGATGCGGATTCTGATGATGAGGATGGTGACGATGATGATGGTGTTCCGATGATGGCGATAATGTTCATGATCATGATGTTGCTAATGATGATGATGGTGCCCCGATAATGATGACGATGATGATGATGAGGATGATGTTGATGATGGTGTGCATGATCATGATGATGAGGATGGTGACGATGATGATGGTGGTGTTCCGATGATGATGATGATGATGGTGTCCCGATGATGATGTTGATGATGATGATGGTGACGATGATGGTGCCCCGATAATAATGATGATGATGGTGATGATGTTGATGATGATGGTGATGCGGTGATGCGGTGATGCTGATGCTGCTAGTGTCCCGATGATGCTGATGATGATAATGTTGATGACGTTGATGTCAATGCTGTTGGTGATGATGGTGATGACGCTGATTGTGATATCGATTGTGATATCGGTAGTGAGATCGATAGTTCGACCGAATGTGAGATCGATTGTGAGATCAATAGTGAGACCGATAGTGAGATCGATAGTGAGATCGATAATCAAATCGTTGGTGAGATCGATCGAATGAAATAGATCGAGAAAGATCGGTGGAGATCGATCGAGTGGAATCGATCGAGCGAGACTGATCGTGAGACCGATAGTGGGAACGATCGTGAGACCGAACGGGTGGGACGTTGGTTCCTCCCCCCAGAACCTCCTTATCACCCGAAGGGTGGTCGTATAGGTAGTATGTGTGGTAGTGTTCGTATGTATAGAAATAATTGCTGTAGTAGTAGTAGTAGCAGCAGCAGTAGTAGCAGTAGTAGTAGTAGTAGTAGTAGTAGTAGCAATAGCAATAGTAGTAGTAGTAGTAGTAGTAGTAGTAGTAGTAGTAGTAGTAGTAGGTAGCATGAGTACATGTATTAAAAGTCGTACTAGTAGTAGTACTAGTAGTAGTAGTAGTAGTAGTAGTAGTAGTAGTAGTAGTAGTAGTAGTAGTAGTAGTAGTAATAGTAGTAGCAGTGGCAGTGGCAGTGGCATTATTATTAGTAGTAGTGGTGGTGGTAGTAGTAGTAGTAGTAGTAGTGGTAGTAGTAGTAGTAGTAGCAACAGCAGCAGCAGCAGCAGCAGCAGCAGTAGTAGTAGTAGTCGTAGTAGTAGTAGTAGTAGTAGTAGTACTACTACTACTACTAGTAGTAGTAGTAATAGTAGTATAGTAGTCGTAGTCTAGTCGTAGTCGTAGTAGCGTAGTAGTAGTCGTAGTAGTAGTTGTTGTTGTTGTGTAGCCGTAGTAGTCGTAGTAGTAGTAGTAGTAGTAGTAGTAGTTTTGTTGTAGTATTTGTAGTAGTAATAGTAGTAGTAGTAGTACACTACTACTACTACTACTACTACTACTACTACTACTACTACTACTACTAGTAGTAGTAGTAGTAGTCCTCATCATTATCCTCCGCCTCCTCCTCCGTATTCCTCCTAATCCTCCGTCGTCCTCCTTATCATCCTCCATAATTCTCCGTCGCCTCCTCTTCTTCCCTCTTTCTCCTCCTCCTCCTCCGCCGCCGCCTCCTCCTCCTAGTCGTCGTCCTCGTCCTCGTCCTCATACTCCTCCTCCCTTCTTCCTCCTCCTCCTCCGCCTCTCCGCCACCTCCTCCTCCGCCTGCTTCTCCTCCTCCTCCTCCTCCTCCTCCCCCCCCCCCCCTCCTCCTCCTAGTCCTCGTCTCTTCCTCGCTCCTCTCCTCCTCCTCCTCCTCCTCCTCCCTCCTTCCTCCTATTTCCTCTCGGCTCTTCCTCCTCCTCCTCCTCCCTCCTCCTCCTCCTCTGCTCCCCTCCTTATCCTCCTCCTCCTCCTCCGCCTCCTCCTCCTCCTTCCTCCCCTCCTCCTCCCTCTCATCCTCCCTCCTGCTCCCTCCTCTTCCTCCCTCCTGGCCTCCTCATCCTCCTCCTCCTCCTCGCTCACCCCCCTCCTCCTCCTCCCTCTCGTCCCTCCTACCTCTCCTCCCTCTCTCCTCCCTCCTCCTCCTCATCTCCTCCTCGTCCCTCCTCCTCCTCCTCCTCCCTCGTCCTCCTCTCCCTCCTCCTCCGATCCCTCCTCCCCTCCTCTTCCTCCTCCGTCCCGCCCTCATCGCCTCCTCTTCCGCTCCCTCCTTCCTCCCCTCCTCCTCCGTCCTCATCATCACCTCCTCCTCCTCCTCCCCTCCTTCTTCTCCTCCTCCTCTCCTCCTCCGCCGCCGCTCCTCCTCCTCCTCTTCCCCTCCTCCTCCTCCTCCTCTCCTCCCCTCCCCCCGCCCGCCTCCTCCTCCTCCTCCTCCTCCTCCTCCTCCCATCTTCCTCCTCCTCCTCCTCCTTTGTCTGGCTCGCCGTTCCTCGGGTCGTGAGAGGCAGTTGGATTGGATTCTGCGCGGTCGCCATCCTTCGTAGCAAGGGGTGCGGGTCTCGCGAGCGGCCGTGTTATCGGATCCCTCTCGACTACCTGGCAGCCAAGATGGGTCTGGACGACCTCCCGCGGCTAGCGCCGCCTCTGTCCTGAGGCTCTCTTGCGTCCATGTCGGGCGGGGGTGGATGTGCTTGGGCGGGGACTGGGGTCGACCTTCTGCGAGGCCTGTCACTTTTTGGGTTCCGCTCTCGGGAAGAGGCGGAGTCGCTCGGGCTTCGAGCGCAAGAGCGCCGCCGGCAGGTTGCGCCGCCCGGGGAGGATCTTGACCCCCCCTAACTCGTTTGGAGTTTGTTTGATGCATGTTTAATGTGGTGGCACCTCTCTAGCCGTTGCCGAGTTCCTCCTCATCCTCCTCCTCCTCCTCCTCCGCCTCCGCCTCCGCCTCCTCCCCCTCCTCCTCTTCCTCCTCCTCCTCCTCCTCCTCCTCCTCCTCCTCCTCCTCCTCCTCCTCGTCTTCCTCATCCTCATGGTCCTCCTCCCCCTCCTCCTCATCCTCCTCCTCCTCCTCCTCATCCTCTTCCGCCTCCTTCTCGTCCGCCTCCTCATCATCCTCCTCCTCCTCCGCTCCTCCACCTCCTCCTCCTCCTCCTCCTCTCTCATCTCATCCTCATCATCCGCCGCATGCTCCGCCTCCTCGTCCTCCCCAGCACATCCGCCTCCTCCTCCTCCTCCTCCTCCTCCTCCTCCTCCTCCTTCCGCCTCATCATTCTCTCCTCCTCCCCTCCTCCTCCTCCTCCTCCACCGCCTCTGCATCCCCATTCCTACTAAACATCAGGCTCACCGTAATCATCAGCAGATCATCATCATCTCATCATCATCATCATCATCATCATCATCATCATCATCATCATCATCATCATCATCATCATCATCATCATCATCATCATCATCATCATCATCATCATCATCATCATCATCATCATCATCATCATCATCATCATCCGCATCCTCATCATCAGCAGCATAATCATCACCATCATCATCATCAGCATCATGTTCAACATCAACAGCATCATCAGCATCAGCATCAGCATCATCATCATCAGCAGCAGCAGCATCAGCATCATCATCATCATCAACAGATGCAGCCGTATCAGCATCATCATAATCAGCAGCATCATCAGCATCATCCTCATC